GGCGCCTTAGCCGGTTGAGCTATGGGCGCCGAGCCGAGACTAGGATTTTTAAATCCTAATTCAGGAGTTTCAAGCCTGAGCCTCTTCCAGGCATTCTTTTTTTTTTTTTTTAAAGACAGTCTCAAGGTGTCGCCGTGGGTAGAGTGCAGTGGCATCACAGCCCACAGCAACCTCCAACTTAAGCGATTCTCTTGCCTCAGCCTCCCAAGTAGCTGTGACTACAGGCGCCTGCCACAACTCCTGGCTGTTTTTTGGTTGTAGTTGTCGTTTGGTGGCCCGGGCTGGATTCAAACCCACCAGCTCTGGTGTATATGGCTGGCACCCTAGTTGCTTGAGATAGAGGCACCCGAGTCTTTAAACAGGCGTTCTTTAAACAAGATTAGATTTGAAAGTAAACAAAAACCTCTTCCTATGCCTAAATTTGATTAGAACATTTTGGTTTTATGCAAATGCTTTTTGTATTTTGTGGGTTTTGCATATTTAATCCTTGAAGTTATTTTATAATTGTTGGTATTACTTTGGCTCTTATGTAATAGGCACTTGTAAAATATCTGTTCAAAGCCTGAATAGTCATTGTAATTTTATCTTTTGTTCTTAGGGGTGCATGTGTTACACAAGTAGGCCTTCTGGAAAGTGTATGCAGAATGTTCAGGAGGGATGAGCTACTTTTAAGTACCACTCGGCAAGCATTTGTAGATCGTGTTCTGCTTACTCTGTTGTGGCACTGCAGCCTGGATGCATTAAGAGAATTCTTTAGCAAAATCGTGGTGGATGCCATTGATGTGTTAAAGTCCAGGTTTACAAAGGTATTGTACTTCTTAGTATCTTCTGGACTGTGTGCTCAGCTGAGTGGCACCTGCTGTTCATGGAGCATTCCCTCTGCAGCCTGTGGCCACATGGGATGTGTGTCTACGTTCTGTGACTGCTATGACAGCTCACCACAGATCTGTTGGCCAAAAGCAGCAGCACTGTGCTCTCATTGTTCTGGAGGCCAGAAATCCAAAATCAATTAGGGCCGTGCTCACTCTAGGGATTGGAGAGAAAACCTCTTCCTCCCTCTGCCAGCCCCTGCTAACTACTAGTGGCCCGTGGTTGTGCTGGCACTATCAGGTCTCTGCCTCTGTTGGCACATTCTTTTCCTGTCTATCTACACTCCTGCTACATCCTTGCTATATGGGTGCATATCATTTCGTGTAGAGCCCACACGAATGATCCAAAATAATCTCCCATCTCAAGGTCCTCAAATAAATTATGTCTGCAAAGCCCTTTTTGCCATTTGAGGAAGTTACAGTCAAAGTTCAAAGGATTAGGGCATCTTTCCGGTATCTTTTGTGGGGTGGAGGAGCAGGACATCATCTAGCCTCCCTAAGAATCATATTAGGACATATCATGGATATGCAATAGCATGGCATTATTAATGCATTATTACTGTAGACATCAAAATAGTTGAAAATGTGTTGGATTTTCACCTGCTCCCGTAGCTCCAATCAGATTTTGCACAAACATTATATGCCCTGAGCTCACTACTTAGACACTGTATGTTATTTCCTACTTCACTCAACAAAACACAGCACTGTATAGACCCATGTTTTAGACCTAGAGAACTGGGTGCTCTTTTATTGAAATGATTTAGCATTATTTGACTGTTAATCTAAATCTAAAGTATATTAACTATAAAATTGGATATATTCAGTAAGATATTTTTCACATATTATAAAGTCAAAGGTAATTGTTTGTTACCTTTCTTAAGCTAAATGAATCTGCCTTTGATACTCAAATCACCAAGAAGATGGGCTATTATAAGATGCTAGAGGTGATGTATTCTCGTCTTCCAAAAGATGATGTTCACTCTAAAGAATCTAAAGTTAATCAAGTTTTCCATGGCTCCTGTATTACAGAAGGAAATGAACTTACAAAGACACTGATTAAGTAAGATTTTACTTAATTTTGGATTTGATTTGTTAATGGTTTTGATGCATACATTTTTATTCACATATATAACATTAGTAAATGTTTTATTAAAATACTTTTATAGTTTTGTATTTTCTTATGTACAAACTACCAAGGTGAACTTTAATTTAGAATGTTATTTCATAATAAATGTTTTCTTCCTGTACACATCTTTTATAAAGAATAACTTTTTTTCTTTTGCTATCCTTCCCCTGCTGGTTTTTCCCCCTGCATAGCTGGTGTATTTTTAGTGCTATGATTGACAGTAAGAATGGACTTAGGATATTTTTTTTCCTGACTATAATTTAAAATTAAAGGAGTGGTAAATATTTTTTAACAGACATTCTATAAAACACAAAGTAATTAAGTATATTTTCTCTAAAACTAGTCTTCTAACGAAGTTCTCCTCCTAGTAAACATTGAACACAAACTTTGTGATGTCTTATTTTGCATCTCCACCTACCTAGTTCTCATCTTACCTCCTCAGTGCACAAGGCCACCGTCCACTCATTGGCACAGAATGGAGACTGGGGAGTTATATTTTTTTCTTCTTTATCTTCCCACCCTCCATGTCACCATATAAATCTGGCTAATGTTATTTTTCTCAGTATTTCTAAAACCCCTGCCCTTGTTCCCAGTGCCCTTTGTTTGACCTCATTTAGTGTCTGAATTCATTTATTAAATCAGTGCCATCATCCTTCATTACTCTGCTGCTGTGCTGGTCACAGGGACAGCTGAAATGTGAGTCTGATGTTGGTCTCATTTCACTGCCTAGAACCCTTCAGAGACACCTGGTTTTTTGAGCAGGGATCATCAGCAGACTTTTTCTGGTTTTAGGGACGGTCTCACTTTGTTGCTCTGGGTAGAGTGCCCTGGTGTTGTAGCTTATAGCAACCTCAGACTTGGGCTTGAGCAATCCTTTTGCCTCAGACTCCTTAGTCGCTGGGCAACAGGCATGAGCTGTGTTGTTTGACTAAGAGAACCAGCAAACTTTCTCTGTAAAGAACCAGATAGCAAATACTTCTTCCTTTGCAAACCAGATAGTATTGTTGCAGAAGCAGCAACTCCATCCTTCAGGCTGATGTCCATGCTCCTTAGCATTGCATGTGAGCTCTCGCAGGAACCCACCTCCTTCCGCTCTCTCACCACCAGGGTTAGCCCCTGATCTGAGTGACTCTCTCAGAATGCCCTCATGTGTTTCTCCTTTGGCTCACTTACATTTCAGACTCAGCTCAGACACTATGACAAACCTCACTTTGTTTGCTAGCATCTCAGACTGGTCTGCTGGCATCCTCCTTGCATCCCTGCCTCTTTACTGACCTCTGTTGTTGTGCTGATCTTGCCGTGAGATGCACTTTGGCTACCTTTGCTGTGAGATGTGATGTCCTTATCCTCACACCCCAGCACTGTGGGGCGTGAGCAGGGGTCTCCAGAGGGTTGACGTACCCTGGCTGTCCTCTGCAGGTTGTGCCACAATGCGTTTACGGAGAACATGGCTGGGGAGACTCAGCTGCTGGGGAGGAGGAGACTTTATCACTGTGCTGCGTACAACTGTGCCATCTCTGTCATCTGTTGTGTCTTCGATGACCTAAAATTTTACCAAGGTTTTCTGTTCAGTGAAAAACCAGAAAAGGTAGGCCTTTCTTGAGGTGTTCACTGTTGCTTTCATGGTAGGATTTCAAAGGTTGTATCATATGAGTTAAAGTTATACTGTAATTTGCACCTTCACATGATATTGAAGATGCAGTTCTTTTCTTGTAGTTCTGCAGATATATTTTTAAGCTGAAGTCATGGGTTATGAAGTAGCATCAGTTCAGTAGTGTGTCAGTTATAAGGATCTCTGCCACTTAGATATCCTTGTGATCTTTGAATTTACAGAACTTGCTTATTTTTGAGAATCTGGTAGACCTGAAACGCTGCTATACCTTTCCTGTAGAAGTTGAGGTGAGTGAAATTGTTAATGTTTCTAAGCTTAAAAAATTATCAAGTGCTCACAGGGAAAAGTTGTAATGTCTGCGTTCAGCTAGAAAAACTGGCAGCTACAAACATTGGCAGTTTCAGCTTAAGGTACAGTCTCAGTGAACTGCAACAAGATTCACCAGGACTTGATTTCTTTATGTCTTGACTTGTGAAGGAAAAACAGTGCCAGTAAAAGGAGCTATTTGGACATATCCCTGAGTTGTTTTTGAATAAATTCCTTTAAAGGAGCTGAGACCAGCAGCAATGTGAATCATAGCCTTGTGGCACTGCTGAGGCAGCTGGGCATGATGATGGGGCCTTACAATGATAACTGGAGGACTTGCTCTGGCGGATGGAACACATTTGGTTTTAGCCAAGCTCAGAGTACCATGCCAGCCTCAGCTCTTTGGTGAGAAGATGGTGGCTGCTGTCTTTATAGCCCATTGGAAATGGGAAGGTAGAAAGAATGCCAAGCTTATACACCATGACCTGCACATTTCTGCACAGACAGCTTTATTACTGCTCAGCCGCATCACTACCGGTGAATGGTTGCTTCCTACCTTGTATCCTTTTGGCATAGACTTGGGTTTTTTTCTAGGCATATGTCAAAGAACTAAAAAACAAAAAAATAACAATACCAATTTATTAAGCATCTAGACACATGGTATATGTTACTTCAGAACTTTACGTCTTACAACAACACTGTTAGGTGCTGTGGTGTATTGTAACTGTATAGTTGAGGATACTGAGGCTCAGAGATAAAGTAAAGCCTGTTGGTGGTCCAGGCATGTGGCCGTGAAAGCTCAGCATGCTGCAGAGTGAGCCATCTCAGAGCTGAGGTGGGTGAATCCGGGGGAGAGGCTTCCTTAAAGGATACTCACCTATCTCTTTTCTGTGGATATTTTTGAGTGCTTTTAAACTTAATGAAAGTTTTAAGATTTCATAATTTGTTGTGGTTTTGTTATTGTTGTTGTTGCCAGATTTGCTATTAAGACAGCAAAATATGAGCACAGTTCTGAAATATTTTAAATTGTGTATTTGTTTTGCCTAATAGGTTCCAATGGAAAGAAAGAAAAAATACATGGAAATTAGGAAAGAAGCCAGGGAAATAGCAAGTGGGGATTCAGGTAGGATGTTTTCAAAATAATGAGAAATGCTTCTAAAAATTGGTATTTTTTTTAATATATAAAATATTTTCACTACTCCAAAACATGGAAATTGAGTTTGAAAAAAAAATTATTTTTAAGTAGCAAATACAATTTTACTTTGGAAGAAGCATAATTTGCTAACCTTTAACTACATGAAAAGGTCTTCTAGTGGCCAGTTGGTGCTCAGATATTGCACACTTTTTTTTTTTTTTTTTTTTGAGACAGAGCCTTAAGCTGTCCCCCTGGGTAGAGTGCCGTGGCATTACAGCTCACAGCAACCTCCAACTCCTGAGCTCAAGCGAGTCTCCTGCTTCCACCTCCCAAGTAGCTGGGACCACAGGCGCCCGCCACAACGCCCGGCTATTTTTTGGTTGCAGTCATCGTTGTTTGGCGGGTCCGGGCTGGGGATTCGAACCCGCCACCTTAGGTGTACGTGGCTGGCGCCTTAGCCAGTTGAGCTATAGGTGCCGAGCCAGATATTGCACACTTTAAAAAAAACTGTGAGATCAGTGGAAAGTCTGCTTGCGTAAGGATGTTTGTGTATTATTTCAATACATTAAGAAAACTATGTCAAAAGATAAATCCAATCCTGCCTCTCCTCAGTTCTGAATCTCCAGCTGCATCTCATCCCTCTCTGCACAGAGCTGCCCAAGGCCCCAGAACTGCTGGCCACCCTCCTACAGCCCTCCCTCCTGGTCACTGCACCCTGAAGGGGAATCCTGGCCTGTGGGTGCCAGCTCACTTTTGTCCTAGGGCCTTTGCACTGGCTGTTCCTCTAACATTAGAGTCCCCAGACACCAGTGCTCTTCCTGACTTTTGGTCAGTGTCACCCTTGGAGGAGGGCCCCCCAATTTAAAGTGAACCCTTTGTCCCTTCACATGCTCCTTGTTAGGATTTTTGTTTAATTTTTTTTCATAGTTTTTATCATTGTTTCTTGACCTAAGGATAAAATTTGAACTTTTATTTAGTTCTCTGAATCCCTTATGTATTTTAGAGGAACTGTTTTTCAGTAGTATTTCTTTCCATATTTGTGTTAGATATATTGGGTCAAAATGTACATCACTGAAATTTTTAATGCAAAGAAAATCTCTTACTCATATCTTAAAATGAGAGCCAATTTAACTCAATTTTGTCTATGACAGTAGGTATTAACTGCTAAATAATTACAGAAACAAAAGGAGATCATTGCCCTGTTCCTTTTTTGCTTTATTGACCTGAACAATGGGTTAAGAATTGCAAGGTTAGGCTAGTCGAGCTGGCTCACCTTGTGATCCTAACACTCTGGGAAGCGGAGGTGGGTAGACTGCTTGAGCTCAGGAGTTTAGACCAGCCTGAGCAAGTGTGAGACCTTGTCTCTACTAAAAATAGAAAAACTGGCCAGGCATTGTGGTGGGCATTTGGAGTCCCAGCTACTGGTGAGGCTAAGGCAAGAGGGTCACTGCAACCTAGTCATCTGAGGTTGCAGTGGGCTATGATGACACCACGGCACTCTACCCAGGGTGACAAAGTGAGACTCCGTCTCAAAAAAAAAATCTGGCTCAGCGCCTGTAGCTCAAGCGCCTAAGGTGCCAGCCACATACCCCAGAGCTGGTGAGTTTGAATCCAGTCGGGGCCTGCCAAACAACAGTGACAATAACAACTAAAAAATAGCTGGGCATTGTGGTGGGCACCTGTAGTCCCAGCTACTTGGGAGGCTGAGGCAAGGGAATCGTTTAAGCCCAAGAGTTGGGGGTTGCTGTGAACTGTGACGCCATGGCACTCAACCCAGGGCAGCAGCTTGAGGCACTGTCTCAAAAAAAAAAAAAAAAAAAAAAAAAAAAATAACAGGGTTGATGAAGTCCATCCTTTAAAAGTGTCCTTTACTTTTATTTTCTCTGAGCTTAGGGAGATGCATTTCTCACTGGTCATGTCTGAATGCACATGCTTTCTTCTCGTTTGTATTTCAGATGGTCCTCGTTATATGTCTTCCTTGTCGTATTTGGCAGATAGCAGCCTGAGTGAGGAAATGAGTCAATTTGATTTCTCAACTGGAGTTCAGAGCTATTCATACAGCTCCCAAGACCTTAATCCTCCCACTAGTCGTTTCCGGAGATGGGTGATGATCACATTTCACACATTACAAGAGTACTATTGAAGTTTTGTCGAGAGAGAGAGGGGAGGGTCACAGCTCTGCCTTGCTGTTCTATGGGAAGGCAGTTCTCTGTCTGTAGGTTGTCCTCAGAGAACAGACTTCATTTGGAGAAGTTTCCAAGATCTAAGCCCAGCCTTATGTCCTGTAAACTGAGAAGTCAGATTTCTTTAGCAGAGGGAGGAAATCAGGGAGTCTGAGGCCCGTGCAGCAGAGTTTGACCGAAGGCGCCCCCTGGGGAGTGATTGAGAAGGCAGGACTGAGGGATACAGGGCTCTAGGGCGTTCTAGAGTAAAGTTTACCTTTATTAGTTTGAAGTGGTCTTTGTATAAAATAGGTTCCTAGAACGTAAGGAAAGCATGAGGAATTCTGTTTATCTTCTAGTCGTTTAGTGAGAAAACCCACCAAGTGTATCTGATACTATGACCAAATTATCATTGCCTAAGTGTTATATGATATTAACCCCCAAACGAGACTCTCGTGTTCACATTTTATTAATAGCCGTACACTCACATCATGGAGCATCTTCACAGGATGCCCTCTTTCCCTCTTCATAGGACCATCAGGACCCCATGGAGCCAGGTGGTCCCCTGGAGCTAGAGATGGATGAGCTCAACCAGCACGAGTGCATGGCCCCGATGACAGCGCTGGTCCAGCACATGCACAAGCATCTTAGTCCCCCCTTGGGGGAGGAGGTGCGTCCCACTTGTGTTCTCTGTTAGCACTAGCACTTGTTGGAATCACACTGAGAATCAACTTTTAATACTGAAGACCAAACCAAACTGCATATCAAATAAGCATGAGTTTTTGTTGTTCATGTCTGTCTTTGTCATTGTTTTCTGATAATATCAAAATGTGTGGTTATTTTATTCCATTTTTTCTAGGTAATTCTGAGTGTTTTATTTCAGGGTTCAGTACTAAGAGCTCTTCCTCCTTGGATGCAATTTCTCCATAGCAAACTTGGAAACCCATCAGTACCATTAAATATCCGTCTCTTCTTAGCCAAGCTTGTTATTAATACAGAAGAGGTAAGAAATTTATTTCTTTAACAGTTCTTTATAATTCTGTGAATCTATTTTGAAAACCACAACAAAGGAAGATAGAAAGGTACCGAGCATGACATACTTGTTCTCCAAATAAATTACCCAGCAACATTTATCTTCTTGTTCTTCTTTTAAAACACATAATTTAACCTTTATTAGTTTGAAGTGGTCTTTGTATAAAATACATGTACCAACTTTCTTTTTTTTAGAGACAGAGTCTCACTTTGTCACCCTTGGTAGAGTGCTATGACGTCACAGCTCACAGCACCTCCAACTCCTGGGCTTAGGCAATTATCTTGTCTCAGCCTCCGGAGTAGCTGGGACTACAGGCGCCCACCACAATGCCTGGATATTTTTTGTTTGTAGTTTGGCCGGGGTGGGTTTGAACCCTCCACCCTTGGTATATGGGGCCAGCACCCTGCCCACAGAGACACAGGTGCTGCTCAAATGTACTAACTTTCTCATGGCTACCAAATTTCTTTGGTTATAGTAGAAAAAAAAAATGGTGAAAATATTCCTGCTAACACTGCATTACAAACGACACGCTCTTAGGCAATTGGTGAGGCCCCAAGCCAAAAAGGGGCGTCTTCTACCTTTGAAACTCAGAGTAGTCTGGAGAGGGCGTGGATAATCATGGTGGGCATAGGAGTGTACCCTGTGCAGAAGCAGCAGCACTGGCAGGGTGGGTGGACCCAGCTGGGCAGACCTGCTGAGCAGAGTGCTAGGCTCATTCAGTGAGCAGTAAGGAGCTGCTTCCTCTTGGCCCCCAGGAAGTCTTCCTTGGCAGCTCTGCAGATGTGATGGGCCCAAGGCCAAGCTCACTGGGAGGTCTGGGGCTGCAAGGGTCTGCTTTCCTTAGGTCTCACTTCCTTGCTCCTAGAGCTCCGGTTATAGCCTGCCAGGGCTGGGAGCTTAAACAGAGGTTTTGAGGCCAGAAGTCTGAGGCCAGGATGTTGGAAAGGTTGCCTTTGAGGACTGTGAGGGAAAGTTCTTCCAGGCTGCTCCCTGCTCCTGGTGGCCTCAGGCCTTTCTGAGCATATAGATGATGTTTTTCCTGTGTTCTCACACTCCCTTCCCCCAGATGCCTGTCCATGTATCCCAGTATCCCTAATTTTTTTTTTTTTTTTTGGCCGGGGCTGGGTTTGAACCCACCACTTCTGGCATATGGGGCTGGCGCCTTACTCCTTGGAGCCACACATGCTGCCCCCCAGTATCCCTATTTTGTAAGTAAAAGAGTCATGTTACATTAGAGCCCTTAGTAATCTCAATAATCTCTATAGAGAGCCAGTCTCCAAAAAGGGCACATTTTGAGTATTAGAACTTAACAGCTATTTGGGAGATGCAGTTCAGCCCATCACACGTGGGACCACATGCGACTTCTCGCTCATTCCTTCCACATACTGACGTGGTTGCTACTAAAAAAGGAGCTGGGTGTTTGACTTTTGGATGATTTCTCTCTTTGAGTGGCACAGGCAGGCTGATGAGGAAGCTACTGCCTGCATCCATAATGCAGCTGCGAGGGGCCTCTGAGGCAGCCTGATGACATGTCCCTTGAGCAGGTGGGACAGTGGTTCTCAAAAGGAGATGCTGAAAGTGGTCCTCGTCCTATGGAAGAAAAAAAGTAGAACTTTTCATTTATCTTAGAGTTTTCAACCTCTTAAGTATTTGTTATAGTTTAATACCATAGTAAAGTGGCTCATTTATATTATTTGTAAATAAGTGGATACTTAAGAGTGTGGTCTTGTTTTTCTTTTTTTTCTTGTGGGGCATGATCAAGAAAGATTTGAAACCACACAGATTAAGCTGTAAGAAAAGTAGGTAAGAAGCCCCTAAGAATACATTTGAGAGAGAAGATGGAAGGTTAAAAGGCTGGACTGTGCTCTTCAGTCTGTCCTGCAAGGGGTGGATATGTGAGTAAATATGTCTTATGTAGATTCAGAGACCTAAGCATGTGGCCTTTATTTATTTATTTTTGAGACAGAGTCTCACTACGTTGCCCTCGGTAGAGTGCTGTGGCATTACAGCTCACAGCAACCTTAAATTCTTGGGCTTAAGCAATTCTCTTGCCTCAGCCTCCCAAGTAGCTGAAACTACAGGCGCCTGCCACAACGCCTAGCCTTTTTTTGTTGCTGTTATCGTTGTTTAGATGGCCTGGGTTGGGTTCAAACCTGCTAGCTGGGTGTATATGGCTGGTGCCTTCCTCACTGTGCTATAAAGGCTGCCATGTGGCCTTTATAAAAGTGAATGATTTCTGTAATACAGAACAAAGTAGGAAAAAAAATTAGCCACATGCACCTACCTAATTTTTTTTTTTTTTTTGAGACAGAGCCTCAAGCTGTCCCCCTGGGTAGAGTGCTGTGGCATCACAGCTCACAGCAACCTCCAACTTCTGGGCTCAAGTGAGTCTCCTGCCTCAGCCTCCCAAGTAGCTGGGACCACAGGTGCCCGCCACAAGGCCTGGCTATTTTTTTGGTTGCAGCCATCATTGTTTAGCGGGCCAGGGCTGGATTCGAACCCGCCACTTTAGGTGTATGTGGCTGGCGCCTTAGCCGCTTGAGCCACAGGCCCTGAGCCTCCTACCTAATTTTGTAATCTCACTTTTCCTATATCTTATCCATTGGCATAAAGTAAAAGAATTTTCAATAGCTGACTGTTACTCAGATGGGACAGAGAAGATTGCTATAGAATACTTTGATATTGGTTTCTCCAAGCACCGTTATATCAGAAAGGTTTTAATAATGGAAAGCTCAGTAATGGATTTATTTCCATTGAATCATTTCAGGAGCCCATGAAGAGATAATTCAGCAGAGAATCTAATTTGATCAAGTGGGGGTAATTGTTGGAGTTCACATCTGTTTTGCACTTAGGTCTAGTCATAATATAAAATTTTGGCTGATGGAGGATATTTCTGTGTTAATATTTTGGTTATTTAGAATGATTCATTGACATTTGAATTTTAAATTCTCCTATAGGTCTTTCGCCCTTTTGCAAAGCACTGGCTCGGTCCCTTGGTGCAGCTGGCTGTTTCTGAAATTAGCGAAAGAGAAGGCATTCACTACTTGGTGGTTGAGATTGTGGTTACTGTTCTTTCATGGACAGGCGTGGCTACTCCTGCGGTAAGGCCTGATGCATCTTTTATATAGTGATATATTATTTCTTTGCTGATGTCCTATAGTGCGCATGCCCCACAGCTCAAGCTTCTTGTATGACCTTGAGTTACAGTTTTTAGGTAACTCACGTAGTCATCATGTGACTGTGCTGTTCCCACTACTCATCCTGCTCTGGTTCTCTTTGCTTTTGGTGATCCTTCTTACCTGGCTTTCATTGCTAAGCTGTCAGGTACTTCTTTGATTTTGTTTCATTTATTGCTTTTGCTTACAAGGAGCTTGGGAACTATATAACAGTCCTTACAAAAGTTATGTGTAAGCTAAAAATCAGCAGAACCTGAGTGTGGGGTTCTAAGGCTTGCTTGTTTGCCGGTATTTCCCTGCAGAGTGCTGGTTGTGACTGGGCTGGTGAGCATGTGGGCTGAGGGGGCACCTGCTGGACGGTGACCCTGTGCTACGAGACATGGGGCGCAGACCCATGTGTGCTGGCACTTTGCCTGCTCATTTAAACTGGGCACCGATGTGTACAGAAGTTTTCATGTGAAGGTGTTTGAGGTAGAGCTTTGTCAAACCTGACCAGCATGTGTAGCCTTTTCAGCGTCTGTGTCTGGCTGTGCCTACCTCCCTTATCTCACAGAAAGCCATCTTCAGTCTTCTTAGTCATAAAGTGATTGAATAATTTATAGTCTGCCTAATAACATGAAAAAATTAAAAGAGTGTTCAGTTTAACTTAGGAGCCATTGAAGAGATTGATATAGATGTTAGGAGCTCAGCTAAGCTTGAAAGGATGGAAGTGCCAGGTGTCACATAGGTGATTAAAGTCCCAGCAAGCTGGTTCTGTGGCTCATACCAGTAATACTAGAACTTTGGGAGGCTGGTTGAGGCAGGAGTTCCAAGACCAGCCCAGGCACCATAGTGAGAACCTATCTCTATAAAAAAATTTAAAAAAATATCTGTTGTGGTGGTAAACACTTGCAGTCTCAGCTGCTCAGGAGGCTGAGGCAGAAAGTCCCTTGAGTACAGGAGTTCAAGGTTACAATGAGCTGTGATTGCACCACTGCACTCCAGTCTGGGTAACAGAACAAGACCTTGTTTCTTAAAAAAAATAAAAAAGCAACAAGAAGTGAAAAGATTCACCTGCAGTAGTATAAGCAAGAGGCTGAAACTGGAGGGGAAAAGCACCAATTTCCCCTGTTCACTTTCCCCCTAGGAACAGTACACTGGGCTGCAGTCAGGGGAGTCAACACTGATTGCAGGTGATCACTGGTGAGGAGCCTAAACTAAAGGCTTAGCTATTTTATGGTTTCTGAGGTGGTGTCTGCCAAGGGGATTCCCAGAGTGGAAAAGCTCTGTCTATCGGGCATCAGAGTGGGAAGCATCTTCATGGTGTCCCCTTCTTCCCTGAAGAGGACCTTTGGCCAGGGCCTCAAGTAAAGGGACCTAGAAGTGGAGGCTCTAAGGAGGAATGCAGAAACACTGAGGATTTGGCTGGCTGGAGCCCAAGTCCCAGACCACAGCTCCGGTGGTGCTGCTGTGCCTGTGTCTCTGTGCAGAGGTAGTGGCTCCCAAGCCTTGCCAGGGAAAGCCCTCACCACTGCTTGAGGTCACCCCTAAAAAGTCACACACAGGGCTTTAACTAGAGGCTGGACTCCTCAGTAAAAGGCCAGATTTCTTTTTGTAAATGGACTTTTGAATTAAAAAGTGCCTTTCCAGAGTGGAATGCTAGGCTTGGCACTTGTGGCTCAAGTGGCTAAGGCGCCAGCCACGTACACCCAAGGTGGTGGGTTTGAATCCAGCCTGGCCCGCCAAACCACAATGACGGCTGCAACCAAAAAATAGCCGGGCGTTGTGGCGGGCGCCTGTGGTCCTAGCTACTTGGGAGGCTGAGGCAGGAAACTCACTTGAGCCCAGGAGTTGGAGGTTGCTGTGAGCTGTGATGCCACGGCACTCTACCCAGGGTGACAGCTTGAGGCTCCTGTCTCAAAAAAAAAAAAAACAGAATGGAATGCTACATGTTAATGTGGAATTTCAATACCTTTTCAGGGGGTCCCTAAAGATGAAATACTAGCAAATCGGTTGCTCCATTTCCTAATGAAGCATGTCTTTCATCCAAAAAGAGCTGTATTTAGACACAACCTTGAAATTATAAAAACCCTCGTTGAATGCTGGAAGGATTGCTTATCCATCCCTTACAGGTATATGTTTACTAGTATTTGCAATATTGTTAGGAAATTTAAGTTAAAATGCAACATGTTGTAAATGGTGTTTATAATGAAATTTAATTAAAGGATGTGATAGAAGAACAATATAATTTGAAATGTAATTCTATACCTGCCTCTTTTTTCTCCTGTGTTTGTTTAAGGTTAATATTTGAAAAATTTTCCAGTAAAGATCCTAATTCTAAGGACAATTCAGTAGGAATTCAATTACTAGGCATCGTAATGGCCAATGACTTGCCTCCCCATGACCCAAAGTGTGGTGTGGAGAGTCTCCAGTGAGTATCTTGTTTTCTGCTTGACTATCTTAGGTTAAAATCTTTTTGAATTGGATTGACAGACTAGAGCATAGTTCAGTTTTGATAAATTTAGGGGCCAGAACCCATGTTAAAAATCTTTCTACTTAAATGGGTGGGTTTTCATGCATATGTCTGCAGGTGAGGGTGTCATTCTGTGGACTGATACTCTCAACACATATCGCTGAGAGGGATGGGGGCTGTACAAGCTGCATCCTAACAGGGCCTCTGGCTGTAGAGGGTCTGCGGGGGTGCTGGGCTTTGTTGCCCCTGTGCTCGACCTGTTGGGGCTCAGCTATCCTACCCTGGGTGAGGAGTAGCAGATGTGACACATGCTGTCAGGTCAGGGACAACACAAAGGGCACTTCCATACCTTGCTTCAAGGACACCAAAGTCCAAGTTCACCTGTGGATGCCCCATAGGCTTCTGCCCAGCCGCCGCAGCCTCTGTCTCTGGGCCTTCGGTATTGGACTCAGGTCCCATCACACCCATCACTGGTGCTGAAACTGTGCGACCTCAGTGCTGAGATGCCAGGGTTAAGAGCTCTGCAGGAGCTCGCTCAGTTGTAGACAGGCTGCTGCTCTGCGCTGCAGTTTCCTTAGGTCAGTGCTAGGGGCTGGTAGTTAGATGTGCTGCCTACAATGGCACCTTGCGCTGCCTGTCCTCTGGCTGTGGCCTTCTCTTCCTCAGCATTGTACTGTCCTGGTCTTGTTCCAGTGGGACTTCTGAGCGGCAGTCAGTGCCTCTTAACCTTGCACAATAGCCTTCCCCCTCACTGCCACTTCTTGTGTCTCCCACGAGGGGAGACTGGCATGTGGTTCTGTGTGCTTGAGCTGTCGGCCACCTGCACTCTTCTGTTCTAATGCCCAGGCCCTCGAATGCAGACTGGGATGTGGATTCAGACGTGTAATGGATATTGTTTTATGTTCAGATTTTTGCAGTTTGTGCTCCTAATATGATAGGTAGTGGAGGGAAATTTTAATTTTTTATGTCAAACAACAGACTGGGTTATTTTAAGCATACTTATTGTCTGTATTTATTGTAGGTACTTTCAAGCTTTGGTCAATAATATGTCCTTTGTGAAATATAAAGAGGTGTATGCAGCAGCGGCAGAAGTTCTGGGACTTGTTCTTCAGTATATTACGGAGAGAAAAAATGTGAGTGTGTTGTGCAGTTTTAAGTAAATACTTGTCAGTTTGGATTTGTTAGGACAATTGACATTACTTATACTTTCTGTATGCTATTGGAAACAATCTGCTTAAGTGTATTTAATATTTCACTGTTTCTAGCTGTATACCAAATACAGTGCTTAGTATTTTGCAGATGACATGTGATTTTTTTTTTTTTTTGAGACAAAGTTTTACTCTGTTGCCCTGGGTAGAGTGCTGTGACGTCATAGCTCACAGCAACCTCAAACTCTTGGGCTCAGTGATCCTCTTGCCTCAGCCTCCCTAGTAGCTGGGACTAAAGGTGCCTGCCACAACTCCTGACTTGGGTCTTGCTCAGGCTGTCTCAGGCTCCCAGAGTGTTGGTATTACAGGTGTGAGTCACCAAAAAAATGTGACTTTTTCTAAAGGACTATAAAACTTTATTGGCCACTGTTCACTATTATCTACATTAATAATATATGGCTAGATGACATTCTGATTACTATGAAGTTGTTTTTTTATGGCTTCTTCTGAACCAGTAACACAGATACTGAAAAGATGGAGTTTACATGTAAGGAGTGAGCTAGGATAAGGAAAAAACACGCAGGTCAGTAGTTAGATTATAGTCTTTATTCACTGTTTATGTCAGCGGGTCCAAAACTATTGGCATCTCTTAACCATCTGCTTAGGTGTCTATGAGCCAAGCCTTAGATAATCCATTAATCATGACCTTTTGTCAGTATAGTACAGGTTATTTCAACTTTCTGTAAAGGAATGGCACACTAGGGGAATCTTTAATTAGAATGCTCCAGGATTTGTCTAGTTTCCTTATCTGTGTAGGTGATAAGGCTTTCCTTTTAGTAATTTTGCAAACAAAATTTTGAATTTATGTGACCATATGTATAGCTGTGGACTCTGATATAACTGTCTTTAAATTATCCATATAAATTGTCTAGTTAACAAATCAGCTATTTGATTTGAAATGGCTTCAGGAGAATTTTCAAGTCTTAGGTTGCTTAGAATGATGTCATCACATAGGCTTTCCTGTGATTTCTGTTTTGGTGAATGTTTAAAAGTAAAGAAAATAGGCTTGGCACCCGTAGCACAGTGGTTACAGTGCTGGCCACATACACCAAGGCTGGTCACATACACCAAGGCTGGTGGATTCGAACCCAGCCCAGGCTAGCTAAACAACAATGACAACTGCAACAAAAAATAGCTGAGAGTTGTGGTGGGTGCCTGTAGTCCCAGCTACTTGGGAGGCTGAGGCAAGAGAATTACTTGAGCCCAAGAGTTGAAGGTTGCTGTGAGCTATGACATATAGCACTCTACTGAAGGTGACC